GATAAGTGGAAAATTAGAAATTTTCATTTGCTTTTTAGAACTAAACCTATTTTCAAAAATGATGACACAATTAGTAGAAATAGGTAAGATAATTTCATAACATTGAGTCCTACCCAATTCAGTCCTACTTCAAGTGATATGGGATTTTTTGCCATAAAATGAGTTCAATAACAAAAATTAGACTATGGAAAAGTTATAATTCTAGAGAAAAATTACATGTTATAAAAATGTAAAAATAAATAAAACTGATGAATAAAAAATTGTCACTATCAATGACAGTAATAAGAGTTTTCGAGCATAAGTTTCCCGATATTGATTTCAGAAAATAATCTCACGTTTCAATAATGGTTTCATTGATTTTCCTTTCTGTTTCGTGTGTATAAACACAATAACTAATGCTAAGTTTTGCTGTCCGCTTTACTCAAATGTCAAAGGGACAAAAAGTTTATCAAAATAATGAAAACAAAATATTAAAGAAATTCATTACTTTTTATGAATGAATGAATTTAGCAATGAATACAATTCTGTTATTGCAATTTTCACCATCATGTTATTTTACCTATCTAGGCTGTCCACTTGAACTTGATGCAGCAAGAGCATGGTTCGCGAATGTATGGAACTACTCCCTTGCACCNAAATTCTTCACATTTTTATTCATTACCAGAGATATTCAAAGAGTAACATCAAATTTTACATTTATTTTTTTCAAATATTCCTAAACTATCAATTGCAACAGAAAAAAATATTTTCTTAGTAGACATTTCTTCCAAAGTAATTTTCGATACCTACAGTTGTTTCATAGTTATAAATGAAACTATGTTGTTTTCTGAACTATTAAGGTTACAGAATAATTGTAAACTCAGCACTTCGATGGCTCTTGTACTTCAGAACACTAGAAGGACAAATAGTTAGGTGGATCGAAAAGTTACAAACTTATGATTTTCAAATTCAACGTCGGAAAGGAAATAGTCACGGAAACGCAGATAGGACAAGGGTACCCAGCTACCAGAAGAACAACTTCCCACCAGACGTGATAAGGTAGCGAGCAGATACTCCTTTATGGACAGCTCGGGTTCCTTCTGACCCGGAGGATAGCAAGCTGTAAGGGTCCCTTGTCCAGGGGTACGGACGGACAATTTAAGAAATCACCTTACCATGGTGTAGTAAGGTGACGAGGCAAGACATTATCGTACCGCAGAAGGAGGATCCCGTCTTGGAAACTGTGCGAGAATGGATTGCCAAAGGAGTGAGGCCGAAATGGCAAGAGATTTCCAAGCACAGCCAGCAGGAAAACGGTCACTGGGATACCATGAGCATTTGAGATTATCTACTCACTCTGAAATGGGAAAGCCCGAATGGAAGAACCAAGAAATTCCAGATAATCCTTCCTAAGACGTGTATCCCGAGTATCCTCTAACAGCTTCACGATGGTCGCACTGGAGGGCATTTCGGAGTGAATAGAACTCTAGCGAGAGGTACTATTGACTCAAACAATTGAATTATGCCATTCTAATGTGAATAATTTATCGTTTTCATAATGCTACCTCCTTATATCATAGAAATTTTCTGGAGTAAACATAGATTACAATCAAAGAATATAGTGAATTTAAAATAATCGAAATTGCGATAGACAATGACCCATACAATAATTTATATTTGAAATTAAATATCAATTTCAACATTTTAGTTTCATTTTCTTCAAATACAAACCTAATTCTCAGTAAATCACACCTCAAAGTTTGTAATAATGACAAGTAAAATCTCAATTGATTAACCACTATAAAAGTTATGAGTATATAAATTTCATTATAAATTATTCAACGAAAATGGTATGCCATCCATTAGAACAAGAAGAACAAAACAGGCTGCATTTCTAAATATGAATTTCTTCTTTACTCTCTAAAAATATTTGAAACCCCTAATAGTAGGAAACTTAACTCCACTGATATAAAAATATTACAATAGGCTGATATATTTGAAGATAGTAAAATAAGAAAACGTACATTCTTCTAGATTTCTCCATAACTACACAAACTACACAACAACTATACTGACAGTCTTAAATAAAGTCCAAATCATTCTGTTTGAAATTACAATGTTTGTAGACTCAATTTGTAAATGTTGAATCAAAATTGATAATAACCAACTTCTGTTCATTACAAAGTGGTGTACTGTTTGTAAATAATATTTCTTGGTTTGAGAAGGATGGCTAACTTTATTATTGATCCTTATTTAATATCTGATATATGCAGAATATCAACCTAACTCAAAAGTTAACAGAGTATGTTTCATCACTTCTCGTATCATTGTTATAAAGATTTGGTACAACTGCTTAAAACAAAGATCAGTCTTTTCAGTTACTACTTTATGAATTTAAAATTAAATATAGAGGGTAATTTGAAAAAGTGGAGATCTCAATATTTCATTAATGATTATACTACCTATCCAAAATAAGGAGGACCAGGAAGAGAAAATCGGAAACCAATGGAGATACAAAGTTGGTTCAATTAGGTTCAAAAGTACTTGTTGATTTTTTTTGGCGTTATTTGATAAGGAGATATTGAAAACAAAAAACAATTTTTATTGACCCTATTCAAGCTGTACAAAATTTTTTTATTTGATGTTTCATCTCTGAAAAATTATCACATACATAATCGAAATTTCCTAACTTTTGTGTTGCTTACACTTTCCGATTTTCTCATGTGGGCCCTCCTTATCTAGGACACACTGCATATTCCAATCATCCAAGCGTTTGGCAAACTATTATAAAAATAGTTTTCTCAGCAAATCTATGTATTTTTTGGGGTTCTATCTTGTCACACGTCAGCTTCATATTGAAAATAATAAAAAACCTAAAAATATCAGTTTTTCAACTATAACTGAAAAACCAACTGTCGAGCGAAATTTTATTGAAATATTCAATATTTGTTGGTCATTTTTAAGGAATTGGCATAAGTTAATGAAGCTGATTGTCGATAGACATGCTTGTTCAAAGGAAATCTGCCAAATAACTCTCCTCATTTCAAGAGATAGTGTCTCAACACTTTCGAAAAATGATAACAATCTGACTGAGTTATCGAACGTCAGTAAATACATCAAGAGCTGACAAATCATGTACTGATTCTACAAGGTGATACCGCGCCCCTAGACATCATTACACACTACTGTTGACATCATTACACACTACTGTTGACATCATTACGTTTTTTGCTACTGCTAATTTCATCACTTGTTATATAGCATTTATGATGGAATCAGCTGATACTTGATGAAAATTCATGACTTATTCAAAAAACACTTCGTTGTGAGATTTTCACATAACAGTTTTACAAAAACGGAACACGTTTCCCTGTACAATGGCTTCTTCAGGCGTGTCTTTACAGACTGTCATACAATGGCTGAAGAAGCCATTGTATGGCAAAACGTATGGCATTTTTGTAAAACTATTTAGTGAAAATCTCACAATGAAGAATTTTTTTGAATATTATACAGGATTGTTTCTACCTGGTGACTTTTTGATCTGTCTCACAGAATAATGTACTGGCATTTCTTTACCACATAAAAAACAATTAGTTATGCATATGAACATAGGAATAACAAAACTGCGTAGATGCATCACTAGTTATCTTACGCCTCCTTCACAAAGGCAGCACTCTACATTAGTGATGGACCTCTACCTTCCACATTTTTCAAAAAATGGATCTTATCTCTTTTTAGTTGCTTCAAAGATGTATTTTAAACACTTTACCTTCACAACCGCATTATTTCTTCCATCTACTAAAAATTCTTCAAATACTATGCACTCTTGACATTTTCCGCGCCCAATAACTGAAATCAAGCCAGCGAACACAAGTAGGTGGCCTTGAGAAGATACCCTAAGGGGAGAAAAAGGAGCACAACAAAGGAATGTCGGATTGTGGGTGGTTAGGAGTTTGACAGAAGTTTAATTTACAAACTGAAATATGAATTCTTCATCGACATACAAGTTGAATCTGGAATTTAAGAACATTTGAAATCTTTAAAAAATGGAAACAAATCAAATTTTGCAATAACACACATATAGTTTCAACCTTAAGAACAATGCAGAGACCATTCAGAAGTGTTTATATGAATATAAATTGAATTAAGTCCATTTTACAAAAAGGATTAGAAAACTAGGGTGACACAATAAACAAAGTTATACAAACTATTGACAGCCACCTTTCTCAATTCCATTGGTTTTATTATTGGAAATATAATTCACTTCATTCAAAATAATCAGATACTTTTAGTTATATCGGGAAGAATAGTTGAACCAATTTCTTTTAAACTAGCGCCTTTGTCGATCATGAGCCTCATTAGTTCTCACCAATTATATACCTAGGTATAATAGGAATTCAAATAAAATATGATTTCATTTATATAAGTACACCACTGCAGAGTGGCTTCTTTTTCTTTTTCCCCCAAGAGCCAAATGAGGCTTCTATCAGTGCGCTCTGGCGGAGTCAAATAATATCTAAATTTTAAAGTTGATACATGCATTTAATAAGAAATTATATCTGCCTAAATTTTGTATGCAATGAGTTCTTTCAAAAAACGTTTAGTTTTTGAATTATGATGTAAAAACAAACTGAAAAGTGACAAAATTTTTGATATTTTTTTCAACTTCGGATGATTGGACTAATATAGAATTTGAGTATAATATTTGTACAGCTATATTATTGAGTGAATGAGTGAGGTAATGGCACTAATAATTCATGTTTACACAATGCAGAACGTATGAAATGAATGTTTTCATTGGTGGATCTTTCCAATAAATATTATAGAAAGCTATTTCAATATTTCCAACAGAAAATTCAATCTTATCACAATTCTCAACTGATACTTCCCAAAATAGCAAATGTTCACAAGAATTTCTAAGGCGACTAGGTTTGCTGTTGAAACACTCCTGTAAACACTTGTTTATATTGCCGCACCAAATAAACCGAGATAAGTTTAATAAAATAAGAATAATTTGGAAATGGTGAACAAGCTGATTTATCACACTGAGCACGTACTTTACAAAATGTTCATAAACTAGCCTCAAATAAAAAAAAAACAACAATAAAATAAAGTTGAAATTGAGTGGTTAGTACATTTCCAATTAATAAAGAACATGTTGAAATCTGATTATTACAATGGTGATTTTGAAGACAAGAATTATTTGGGAAGCCCAGTAAGTCAGATAACTGTTACACATATTGAAATAAGTCTACTCATTTTAAATAATCTCCGAAATAATAATGAATTTTAAGGAAAAAAATCAAATTTCATATAGGATAATTGTAATCACAATGAGAGTTCTTTTCGTATGATTGTGAATTAATTGTGATCCAATAAATAAATTGGAATCTCAACCAAAAGTATAATATATTAATGACAAAAAGGTAATTTCAAAAGGTTATTTTTGTTCACTTTCTCCATTTCAGTATAAAGGACAGTACATTACCCAAAAAACTAACTAATTAAATAATTCTTTTCTTCACTAGACAGTAGCATTCCAAAACGAATGATTCGTTAAATTAGAGATCACTTTGAAGATAGATATATATTAAAAAAATGAAAAAATCCTACTATACATTTTAAATTCGCAACTTGGCCATCTGAAAGTTGGCAGAGTAGAATACACATTAAATTGAAGTTAACAGCGATACTGCAACTAAACAATTTTGAAATGTTAAATGAAATATTGAAAATGATGTGCAAGCTACTCTTCATAAAATAAGCATTGAATATGATCATAATTTTGGAAGTCTGATTCAAAACAGTATAAAGGAACATTTGGAGATCAATCAGATTGAACACAAGGTCTAATGAACAGATGTGGTTCAAAAAGATATAAAAATCAAAATCAGCCTAAATCCATTATATAAAAAACCCTGCATAATAAAATAAAACTACTGACTTTGCTTCTATTCCTGAAAGCTGGGATACATTTCTCTTCTAAACTATTATCTAATCATTTCCAAATATTTCTGTTTGTGCTTGGCCAACATATCAGCTACAGTGACTAAAGTTTTTATGTTTGAATTGATTTTAGCCACTGCTTGGAGCTCTGTAAGATGAGCAACACAGATGTGATGTAGTGTAGCAAGTTCTTTGGCAGTGTCTAGTTTAGAAGTTATTCTTGATTCACCTGGATCTCCAGCCATAGATAATTGATCAAGAAACACAACCATCCTCTCTTTATTTTTCAGAATGAACGGATTAACTACTTCCATATATGGTTCCTGAAAGATAACATATGTTCATAAAAGGTCATTTGTTCTGAAATCAAAATATATTATTTAATCTATAATAAGATTTAAATCATCTGGTTTGTTATTGTAAAATTCATTAATGAGGATACTAGGAGGATCTATTTTAGGACTAGTTATTCTTTCTGCAAAGAAATGACAAACTCAACGTCGAGACATGACAGATTTAAACAGGATCTTATACAGTGTGGAATGGTGAAATGGAATCAATTCATTATTTAAATTAATGTGCATATTTATGAAAAATCCTGAAACACGTCAATTTTCGCTTTTGAAATTATTTCCTATTACTCAAATGGAATGAAGGTTCAATTCAATACACCTCGAAGTACTTCTCTTTCATTTGCAGAATGGTGTACAGAATGAGTACAGTGCTTGAACATATCTGCTTAAAAATAATACAGTATCAGTGAATATCTCAAATATTGGTGATACCTGATACTTCTCAATAAATCAATGTAAACTGTCTAAAAAATTTCAATCATCTGTTGATAATGCTAATTTTGTTAGCTATACGCGCGTCGAGAGACAGTATTGTAGTTTTGTGAGAAAAGTGTTTCCATTAGATGCCTTATAATCCAGCCATTTTAGGTTTTTTAAACCTCAATCTGCGGAAAAATTTCTACTGAACTGAATTTTGGTATACACCTTCATTATGGCGTTTTAATGAAGATGTGAAAAATCGACATTGATATCGTGCCGGCTAAAAAAGTTATAAGGGTCAAAAGGCCACAAAAATCATTTTTTCGCGAATATCTCGCGACCTATGGCTCGGAGGTCAATGAAGGTCACTATAAAAATTATTCCTCATACGATTCTCTACAAAAATATCACTTGCATGTTTCTGTAAAGTCAACCGTTTTCGGACTAGAGCGCTGAGAAAGAGAGTAGAATGCACTCACATAGGGTATGATGTATTATGACACATAAGGCGTCAACTCTATTGCTTTTAATGAATGTATTTAAGTTTTCTTAAAACTTCTAAATTCTTTTCAGAACTTAGTAAAATCTACTATATATAATACAAATGACCTCCACCAGCAAATGTTCCGTTTCTCGAGGAAGGAGTACTCATGAAAGCGTCTTCTGTAAGTGGATATATGGTATGCATACAACAAATGCAATTTATATAGTNATACAAACCTGGCTAGAAAAAGAAATTGATCCAGAACAGTGGGGTTGGGAGTTGAAAAATAATATATTACAACCAATAACAACTTTATTGCCACCAGCACCCGATGTTCTACTAAACACAATCTTTTGAAACTGTACAAAAGGTTATGGCGGCAAATGTGGATGTAAAAAAATTGGATTGAGATGTTCTAAAGCTTGTGGACACTGTCGAGGTCAGTCATGCTTAAACGCAGAGTCCACTAGTGAAGAAAATGATGAAGATGTTGATTTAAATACAGCAATAAATCCACTCGAGAAAATAAAGAATCCTAACAATATCAACCATTTTTCTGCCAGTTCTAGCTAAAGCATTTGAAAAAATTTTGTACAATCAAATCAATGAATACGTAATTAAACATAACATTATACCACCGATTCAGTCTGGGTTCAGGGTAGGATTTAGCACCACAACAGCTCTAACAAATATTGTTGATGATATTTTAAGTACAAATGATGAAGGAAAGGTTACTTGTCTAATCCTGCCGGATTACAGCAAGGCATTTGATACTATGGATCATGAGGTTTTCATTAGTAAATTAAAATTCGTCGGATTCCACCCTGATTCAGTGAAACTATTTGAATGTTACCTGAAGGGAAGAACGCAGAGAGAGAGAGTGGTTCATGACCTTGAATCCTCAGAGACCTTGCTTTGAGCCATGGCGTTCCGCAAGGATCAATATTGGGCCCACTGTTATTCTCTTTGAACATCTCAGATTTTCATTCATTCGTCAAATACTGCCGCATACACCACTACGCGGACGATACCCAGCTGTACTTATCTTTCAATGAAGTGAAACCTGATGTTACCGCTGCTTTAAATTCGGATCTGGATTCCTTGATAAATGTATCTGCAGCACATAATCTGAAGTTGAACGCGAGTAAGTCCAATGCATTGTTTTTCGGACCGAAGTTCAAACGTAATCTAGCCAGTACCTCAATCGACATTGTTTTGGGTGGGGAAAAAGTTCCCATAAAAAATGAAACAAAAAACCTCGGACTCTGGTTAGACAATAAATTGAGGTTCACAAAACATGTCAATCAATTTTGCCGAGTTTCATATAATACACTCAAACAACTTTATCCAAGTAGACAATTCATGAGTTCCGCTCTGAAAATTCGTGTTTGTAAATCCCTCATATTATCGAAACTGGCTTACTGTGACTACATTTATGGATCCGCACTTCTGAGTGTTGACAGTAGTCGACTTCAAAAAATACAGAACACTTGTATTTCCTTCGGAAATCGCAAATATGAGCACGTAAGTCATAAATATCGGGAAATGCGAAAACTGAAATTGCTAGATATGAGAAAATTACATCTATTAAATATGACTCATAAAGTACTGAAGTATAGGACACCAACATATCTATATGACAAACTAATCAAAATAGGGAATCTGAGTGATTATAACACTCGTAACTCGGGGTAACTGGGAAAGTACAAACATAAAACCTTCATTTTTCAGCGATCTTTCACTTACAATGCCTGTACGTTCTATAATCAACTTCCGCATGATTACAGTACATATACTCTGATGAACTTCAAAAAAAAGTTGGAATCCCTATCATCAGCTCAATATGATTAACAAATGTTGAACTCTGCATCTACAGAACGGATAATGATCGGTCACTCACTTTATGAATTTAAGGTACTAATTAATTTGATAGATCTCAGACAGCAAAATTATTCTACAATATGAATGAATTATACTCATCATAGATATTATAGCTAAGATAATTAAGAAAATTGTAAATCAATATTGTATTCAGTTTAGGAAGATCAAAGTCAGTTTAATCTTCCTCTTGAAGTTGATCACTTGGTGATCGAAACACGTGTCGAGGTGTTAAAAATAACGATTTGATGTTGGGAAAAAAAACTACAGTAATATTCATTGTATTTCCATGATTAAGTTCAAAAATACCCTCGGGTGACACTTCGCCACTTTATCTTTGTTGAATACCTGTTATTGTTATCTCTTCACATGTGTGTTCAAAGACGAATAAAGAGGATTTATTATTATTATTACAACTGAAGGATTTGAATGATGAGATAAACTCTTACTTTTGTGGCTTAGAATTATCAAACCAAGTTTTAATAATAACACTCTACAGATCCTGCTTGGGAAATGCTGAAGTTTTCTTGGCAAACCTGGAAAATTAATTAAATAAATATTTGAGAGGTAAAAAGAAAGTCATTATACTGGTAAATTTTAACATTAACTTCAAGTCCAACTCGAATGTCTTAGAAATGAAATGCTCAATAATTTATTTTGGCCTCACTATAATCATATCTGAATTCACCAGAATAACAGCATATTCATCTATCTGCATTGATAATGTATTGACAAATATAGAGAAGCAGAACCTGACTTCAGGTGTATTTTATCCATGTCTATCTGACCATATTGCACAGTATATAATCATAAACAAAATCACTGAATGTAAACCCGACATAATTATGAAAATATCTTCATCACACTCCTCAATGGAAAAATTCAGAGAAATCCTCGAAAGTATTGATTGGGGTATCTTTGAAAATACAAATTTAGGTGCCAACTTTCTAACAAATTTCTTGTGTACTCCCACATAATTATGCTAATTATGTGGAAGTACACTTTCCATATAAAAAGTGTAAAATTGGAGAAAAACCGCCAGTTATATGGTACAACGATTCTCTGAAGGAGAAGAGGGGCAAACTTTCAATAGTAAAATGTATTTATAATACAAAGAAAAATCCTACAATTCACTTAAGAAAAGCTACAGGAAGGAATTGAAAGGAGCAAAAAGAAATTTATATGGAGAAAAAGCTAGTTGGCAAATTATAAACTATGAGTTAAATAGAAAAACTAAAAGTAACCCTGAAACTCCAATATGCGGAACCTCTTTCAACGCTCACTTCACAAATGTTGCTGAAAATATAATAAAGCAGTTACCCAAAATACCAGACAAGACTTGATCCAATACAAACATTTTCCTGTCCCATGCATTTTTTTTCTAACGGGAGTCACAAGCTATGAGGTTCTTGATACAATTAATGCATTAAACAATTTCATGTCGGTAGATACACATGATTTGAATTAACATATCATAAGACAAACATCAGATCTAATTTTTGTACCATTAACATCAATGATCAATTTGATCTTCAGAGGTAAGCTTGAGAACAAATATTATAATCCCTAGATGGGCAAACCGAAAAGTTCTCAACAAATTTATTGAAGATATTAATATAAACATTCATCATGAAATTAAGGAAATGCAAAATATTGTATTTTTGCATGTCAATTCAATACTGAATTACTCAATTTTTTTATTTAAAAAAGTTCTTATTTTTGAGTATGTAGGTGAAGTCAAATTGATGGAAAGAATAATAAAAATGATAGATAAAAGTGGGGGAATCAATCAATCAAATTGGATCAGCAATGAAAGTGTTTATGAAACTGTTCATAACAAAAAGACTAGTAATATTCAATCAAATTGNTTGCCAGGATCACCTTGGGCGACCCTGGGAAGCTGGCGCCGAAGAAATATCTGGCGATGACCAGGAAAAATCTACGCCTTACAGTAGGATTTCTGACTGGCCACTGTCAGCTAAGGAAACACCTACATAATATGGGGCTAGTGGACACACCTCTATGCAGGATGTGTGAACAGGAAGATGAGACTGTCAGGCATGTCCTGTGCGAGTGCCCGGAGTTATCGTCAATAAGAGAGTGTGTGTTCGGCGAGTCTTGGCCTACACCTGCCGATATAAAGGAGATGTCTCCCAGCGACCTGTCCACCTTCCTGGAAAGGACAGGATGGACGACGACCTAGAAGGACAACTCCTCGGGAGGATGTACAATGGGTCACATGTGGCCTAAGTGCGTGGGCTTACACTCACCCTCCCTGCTCTACAGATACAGAGAAGACAATCACGTGATGATGCTGACGTCTTAATAGTTGAAACAGCAATTGAAAAATCAATAAATAATACTACAATTATCGTTGGCGAAGACATAGATCTATTGGTACTTCTCATAGCACGCACTAAGAAACCAGGGAAAAACAATGTTAAAAATATACTTGACTGAGAGCCTCAACAAGTATCCACACAGCAAGAAAAATATTCTGTTTTTGTTTCACATTTTTTTGTATCTATTTATATATTGACATGCCATAAATGTATCGATATATGTAACATGGTGAAAATATATCTATCTATCTATCTATCTATCTATCAAAGGCCATTCGCAAGCCTACCAATTTGTTGCGTTGCGGAGAGTACTGCTTCTTTACCTATAAAATTTATTTTATGTTTTAAATTAGTTTATAATCAATTCAATTAATCTTGAGGGACATGGAACCACTGTTATGGGATAACTCTATCTTAAAGTACTTTAGAAAAACAACCACATAAGTCATATTTATCAAAAATACCAATCTAAGAGTTAGGGTATGCTTGGATTCCTTTTGTATTAATTTCGGTCATATCATGCTGTATTATTATACAAATTATTTATTGTTTCAAGTACTTCCTGTTCATTAGTATCGTAAAATACTACATTGTGGTAATGTACAGCGTACTATACCAGCTGTGGCAAATCATAACAAAATCACAAAATTTTGTTTGAGCACTCTGTTACGTTTTGTTTTATTATAAAACATTTATTACTTTTACTATTAGGAAACAGTATAATTAAGATTGAGATGTTTAAGAATTTAATTGGTCGAGACATTGGATATCAGTATTCCAAAGGTCATTTCAACAACATGACTTCACCAATGCATTTTGATGTCCAATGTGACACCCAATAAATTAATTGATTCAGCGAGTCGATTGTATGTTCTGAGTTTAAGTCAAGTTCTGCCACATTTTCATTCTTAACGAAACCTGACGCCGACGAAAGATAGAAGGGAAACCATTGCAACCATTACAAAACTTCATCTTTTGTGAAGAATTCAAGGTATTTTGTAGAACTTCCAGGGGCAGTTGAAGTCACAGAGCAAGATCAACTAATCAGTTTTGACGTGGAAAGTTTTTACACCAACGTTCCCATTAAAGAACACTTTAAATCATAGAGAGGAAGCTATTTGAAGACGGGGACCTGGAAGATAGAACAAATTTACCTGTACAAGTAATCATGGAATTACTAGGATGTTGTGTACAAATCTGCTATTTCCAACTGAAGAACGGATTCTTCACGCAAGATGAGGGACTGCCAATGGGATCGCCACTTTCCCCAGTTATAGCCAACATATATATGGAGTGGTTTGAAACTCTGGTCATTGAAGACGCCCACAAGAAGCCCCGAGTCTAGTTGAGATACGTTGACGACACCTTCATATTATGGAAACATGGTGATACAGAACTAGACACCTTCCTGAAGCACTTCAACAGCGTAAGACCTTCCATCACTTTCACAATGGAGATGGAAATCCACAATGAATTGCCAGGCGTATTGGTGAAGAGGAACGACACTAAGTGAGAAACATCTTTATACCGAAAACCCACTCATTTGTATCTGAACCACAAATCCAACCACCATCAATCGACTAAAAGAGGAATCATCAAGACTCTAGTAGACCATGCTTTCAGGCTCTGTAATACGATGGAAGGTCTCTAGAAGGAACTAGGCATCATCAAAAATTATCTTTAAAGGACTGGTTACTCCAAAGTGATGGTGGTACAGACTTTGACTAAAAGACAGCAAGAGCCTCACAAGGAAGAAAAGTCGCCACAACCAGTACATGCACTTCCCTACATCAGAGGATTGTCGGAAAGGATAAGAAGAATTAGGTCAAAATATAACATCAGAACAAGCTTCAGATCCGGAAACACTATCCGTGAAAATGAGAGGCCATTGAAAGTCCGCATGGCAAAGCACAAGGAACACATAAAGTGAGGAGAAACCAGCAAATCGGGAATAGCAGAGCATGTTTGGACTTAACATAATATCAAGTGGTCCCAAACTGAGATCATCCACAAAAAGGAACAATGGTTTAGGAAAAAATTTAAAGAACTGCATATATGTTGTCCAACAACGCATTTACGGCCTGGCCACGGGGATCGGCGATGCAAACGTTGAAGCGGGAGGCGAGGCGACCATTCGCGCGACACCATTTGCGGGCCACGGTCAGTCACGTTCGCCGCCGTGATCAATATTCCGACAGCGAAATGTCTTTATCGAATTTATTTCGATATTGCTTGGAAAGTAATATTTTTTTGGTTCAAGACCTAATATTTGTAAGAGATTGTGGAGTACATGATTTGAATAAGAATCGGGGTGTAGATGGAGAATTCCACAAGGAGTACGAGAAATACAGATTATATCCAGAAACATTTTTTGAGTATACCAGGATGAGTATTGAAACCTTCGATTATATTCTTATGAATATTCAACCAGAATTGAAGAAAACTTAATGCAAATAGTGCCGCTGAAAAATTGTTTTTGACATTAAGGTATGTACTTACCTATCTATACATATCCATCTATATTAATCTACATTACGTATTCATCTATATACCTAAATATAGAGGTAATACTTGATTAGCTGATCATATTTTGGAGAATTACCTATAGTATCCAACAGTATGAACAACTTTTCCCAAGAAAGTAATGGTCGCAAACGGATTTTTTTATAACTAAATTTATTTGGAACTATCTTTGCTCAAAATATTATCAGCTAATTAAATGTTACCCTGTATATTAATATTTCATGAAACAAAAACACTTTCAGATAATTATGTTATTTATTGCAAAAATCTAAATTAAATTTAGTAATTTTTCGTACAACTAAAACAAAAAACAACTTCTAACTTGTAATTGACTGTAGAATGAATTTCTAACGTTTTAATCAGTCTTCCAAATAGATGATCTAGCTAGTATTTCAGCAATAAAAGTCTCGGTGTTCATTTTTCGCAGCGAAAACAACTAAACTCGTTTGATCACTGCACTATTCGCCGCGACTGCCGTTCGACTTCGTGGCTCGCGCCGTACTGATTCAGGTATTTGTTTTACTCGCCCGTCGCGCTGCAAGTCGCCCACGCGGTACGCTTGGAACATTTCGCCGGCCGCTTCGCCGGTCGCCGTTGCGCGTGGCTTCATAAGTACATCGATATGCGTTTGTTTCAGTCGCTAGACGCTTCGCCGTCCGCACCGCGCGAATATTCGCATCGGCGAGTGTCCCGTGGCCAGGCTGTTAGCCACTCTACTGTAGAGATACGCAACATATGAAAACCCATAATGAAGCGGAAAGCTGACAACTCCTGCTGAACGGTCAGCTCCCGCTAATCCGGTGAAGCGAAGAGAGGGAGGAGGGATAGGTAAAAGCACTCGAAAAACCTATAAGTTGTCATATAGTAATGGTAATTTTAAAACAAATACCAAATAGCCCAGGATAACTAATAAATATCCATAATCTGGATACGATTTTCTCAAATCTTTAGGTATCTCCTTAAGCTTCTTACAGCTGAAAAGCAGCATGCTTTCGAAAATTGTAGTGTATTTATCTTGTAATCATCAGTGGTCTTGCCCTATTAGTACTGATTGACTTTCAGCAGATTTAAATTCTAGCAAGAAGTCAAATTGTGGTGTTTTTATCAATTCAAAATAAACTAAAGTCATCTACATGAATCTATTATGGTTAATCACTATGCCTCAGAAAGTGTTAAGAGAATTAAACTAAATGTCCACACCTGTACTATATTGTTAAATGTAGATTTTACACCATAATTTTCCATGATGTACTCAAATGCATCATTTTATTGAAACAGATAAAAAATAATTCAAATACTCTCACCTTTCCACCAAATTCCACCAGATTTGCAAGATTCTGTAAGCACTTAGCCACCATAACTAGGCTTCTAGTAGCAGAAGGTGATGGTTGTTCACTAACAAGACCAAACTGTCTTGGATTCAGTAATGCCGGGCACAACAATCTCAAAAAAATAAAACCTGACACCACCCTTGTTCGCACAAATCTTTCATCAGGCCACTTGGCAATAACAGCTTTTTGCAAACAGCCACATATGTATCTAACAGAACGGGGGCAGGCATCAGGAGACATGAATATACTCAGCGTAACCTGAGAAAAAATAAACAATTGATAATACAAATAAAAATCTATATAAGTTCGGAAACCATGAAACAATAGTGGATATGACTTACCTGATCTAAAATTTGTAACAGGAATTCTGCGTTATTGCAGGCATCATCTAAATTATCCATTTTGGAGGGGTTCAGTTCAGCACTTTGTTTGCTTTCCAGGAGTCTGAGAACAGTTTCCAAAACAGCTGCTTGTAAAAATCCTCCACACTCTGCTTTCATATAAAGATCCATCAGTGTGGTCGACAACGAAGCAGCTCTAAACAGTGTTGATGTTTCAGTCTCCCTGTTGATCTGAAATATTCGTTATCAAAAACCAATATTACCCATGCACAATAATAATACCTCAGCAGAGTTTAGCTCTCTTAGAAGTTCCGTTTCTCTTCCCTCTGCTCTGAAAACTCTCAACAGTGCAGTGGCTAGAGGTCCCCTATCAGCATGACATATTTCAGCTAAAGTTTTGACAGAAGTGAGACCAGGTTCCAGTAACAATTGTTGAAGTGGGCTATATTCTTCAGCAGGCATAACCAAATCGTGTAAATACCTATAACAAATTGTCTATGCTCAGAAGATCGCAAAAGTCCTTGAGTAAGAAAGATAGTCTATGGTTCTACAAAGTCCTGCTCCGGATTAGAAGAGGAAAGGTTGTGTTAGGTCAAAAGTAAGTGGGTGTGTTCGATCCTTCACCGAGAAAAAGTACAACCGGCGGTGAGGCTTATAGCCGCGATACTATGATGAGAAATTTTGGCTAACATCACATCTTCGTATATCCCATCTGTATTGATCAAAAAAGATTCTTCAGAACCTGACTATTGTTGGCGTTATGAACATAGAGACATTCCGAATCATAGATGAACAATGAATACATATCTACCACATTGAACACTCACCTGGTACGGAGTCTCAAAGAACCCCATTCTCCCATTGGAGTTAACCCAGACAAAGTGTACCATTCTTCACGTTCCTCACCATTGCCCAAAGAAGCTAGCTCCACATGCAGTTCAGCTACTTCTTGTTCTTTTCCTCTTTTCCCTCTGTTATGTACAGTTAGAGTAAACGATAAAATATCACATGGCACATCACTGAAAAAAACAGAATGTGGTATCAAAATGATGAATTTCATATATGATGACATGTTTTTAATTGCATTCATATCCCTCGGAGAATAAATTTTAAGTAAAAATACATAAAGAAAAAAATTAGTAACAAAATAATTGAGAACATATGTATATTTTTATAACAACTATTGAAGAATCACTTACTCAAAGACAAATTCTTCCTCCCAAACAGGATCGGGGCCAGATTTTGTTCTTGTTCTCGCTACCCTAACCTGATTATTGAGTTGTATGGTAACATACGGCTGTGGCACTAACTTGTAAGGCAAACGGTGTGCATCAAGAATATGCAACGTAAGACATCTGAGCTCTCTCAATCTTGGCACTTTGGAAGTAGCCTTACTGAGCTGAGGAACGCATAATGGTTTCAAAGAGTTCACCCAATCTTGGCAGTCCTCTGTTGAACGAGCTGCGAGATGGGTTACAGTCGCCAAACATGGAAGAGCCCGCTCCACTAATTGAAGACAATGTGAACGTTCCCATAAACTGTCATGTACCTGATGTAATGAAAAAATGAAAAACATTTTAAACAGTAATATAAAAAAAATAAAAATGTTAATTTCAAGGTCAAATGTTTGTGTCTATTCAGAATTACCAGTTACAGCATCAGTGGAAAAACTATAAGATATGATAATTTGAAGGTAATTGAAACGTAATTTTATTATCATTATATATGATTTCATTGTTTCGACTAGCATATCTCAGAAACAAAAATCTATAAATTTGATTATGAATACCGATCACGAATTTTCATAACTGGTTGTGCCCTTATACCTGGTTCATTCATTCAAGTATGCAATAGATTATGCTTATTTATGCAAGAATAATTTTCTTATTTTGCATTCAAGTTGACAATGAAGGCACAGAAAACTATAGAATTGAATGTATAAAGTCCTTAGCTACCAGAGAAAAATCGATCAACATTCACAGTTTCTTTAACAAACATATTGAACATCTCAAAGAATGTAGGTTGTGTGAATGCCATCTACAGTGACTTCTTCAAGTCATTTCACTCATAAAAAATTTTGGTTTCAGTAGTTTGAAGTTTTTCCAACTTATTATAAACAAGAAGTTAGAAATAAATAGAGTAAAAATGAGAATATTTATTGAAGGCTATGAGGGTAATAAGTGCATTCGGGGGTAACTAGTGAAGGAAACAATTTGTTAAAAGGATGAAATGATGTTATAATTTTCATTTATGAATATACTGATCTAATAACTACAAAATGCCGTTCGTTTGTTATTCAAAACCCAGATGTTGCTTTCATTATTTTCCGGTCAAATTATTTGACAGCCAAAAACATTTTTCTATTGTATAAAATCAATATATCTAATGTAATAATAAAGTTGACTAGTCAGAAAAGTCGATTTTGCATTTTTATACATATTTATTGACCTAATTCGAATAGAAAACTTGATTGTTCAAAATTTTATGGTAAAACAATTGCAAAAATAAAAATAAGAGACAAACTGAGGTTTGTTATAAAGAAAAAAGTAAAGACTAGAAATAAAACTAGTGCTCATAATGCCAAATAAAATACAGTAGTGAAATATGAATGAATTTAAATTCAAACGCCTAGATCGCTTCAAAAAAACACTTTCAATGAAACTTTACAAAATCTATTCCAATCGATTTTCACTTGCTATTGTCCAACCCGTGTTAGGAATCACACGTTAAAAGGTAAGACCTCGTTAATCCTTAGCTCGCACAAGTTTCGACTACTGAAGTTTGTCGTTCGTAGGGGTGCGACAGCTGGTTAACGAAAAAACAGATTTTAACAGATTTTTTTAACAGATCAAAAATGTAAAAGAGCAGAATCAATCCAACTTCAATTAGACGAATTCCCTCGAAAACAATATTTGGTCGAGGTTGGGTTCAAATCTATAATTTTTCAATATAGAATCGGGATTACTACCACTATTATTGATATTGGAGATATCCGAGTTTGTCATAACCTGTGAGAAAAAATAAGGAAGTTAAGAAAGAAGAAAAACCGGGCTGTCAGGCCATGGTCGAATGGAACTTGTAGTATCAGTAGTATATGTGTTGGCTGCGAGGACAAAAGTAGTGTCCCAAAGTCTCAGCAGTGACTGACAAACGACAAAAACTCTCAGTGTTTTTGATAGAGTCATTTTACTACCTATCAAGTTTTAACCTTTTCATAATGATTGGTTTAAGTTAAGAAATATCGTTCAGTGTAATAACTAAATTGTGAAAAATGAACAGTTTCTCAGATAAACAAATCTCAGACTCGACAAACCGATTGCAAATTCATGTGTTTTCATGATGAGACTTCAACTGAGATTTTACCCATAACTACTTCAAAAATTTTTTTCTCCTATTTTGGCATATTGATTCGAAATTTATTATCATGATACGACCTGTATCCAAAATATTGGCACTAACGTAAAAGTAGTGGATGTTTGATGTTCAAAAGAATTGAATATTCATTTCTTTGTCTTGCTTTCACAGCAGTTTCAAAGCAACATTTCAACCATTCTTTAATCTTCGAACCTTATATTATAGGGATGAAGTAGCTCTACTCCCAGTGATTGTGAAGAGCTGAAATATAATGGACGATATTCGATGAAGTGGTAGACCGAGTTTATATTTCTTTATTGGCAACCATAGACCAATTTTTTATGGTTTCAACTTTATTTTCGTTAGTTATATAACTTTGAATATTACTATACCATTAGAGTACGTCGCCAGTGGATAGAAGTGTTGTGGAAAAAACAGTTCGTCAACTAATAAACATTGTACAGCAAAACTTTGATATTCTCAATATCTGAATCAAACCTGCTAAGAATGAAAGATGGAGATGAGTATAGTACACCCTTGCAGTGAGCAATAGAAATAGAAAAAAGTCCAGTAAAACATCAACAGAAAGTAAGAGCCTTCAATATCATATTGCTTTTGTATACAAAATGCTTACGTCCAACAGCTTCCAATGGTTAAAGCCACTTTACCGCTGAATATGTTGGACGGTAAGTGCTAAATCCAGCGGCTGCATGAAATTAAAGTACCTTTAAAAGTGCTTTTACGCTGCATGCACCCATTTACTGACAGAGTAGTTCTTTGGGTGTAGCAATAGCTGAGGTACTGTCTCCTCAACTCGTACAACTCTCTTGGATCTATTATGAAAATAATAATAATTCATTTCCCAAGAGACAAAATATTGAATATGAATAGTCAAGTCCAAAAAAGAAACACACAATGTAGATTTAACAAGTTCACATTCAGAGTTTTGGAACACAAAGACTCAACGTACAAAATTATAAACATATTAGAAATGTTATATGTGTGAGATATAACAGAAATATTGGTAAGAATATTCTTGTGAGATATCTTTTGAAAAGAATTCATCTGTTGAATAAAAACATATTGTAACAATAAATTTTTTGAGTTGCTTTTTGAAAGTCAATAACGAAGAACAGTTTTTCAATTCATTTGGTAATTTATTGAATGCATGTAAGCCATTATTTCAGTCGGGATGTTCATCAATGCACATTCCTAAAATCTTGACATGGGTGGTAGATTTGGAAAGTGGTTTTGTAAACATTTTGGACGGTTGTGAAACCGAAGATATTGTGTCTAATCCACATTAAAAATAATCAGTTGTTATATGTCCAAGTTGCCAAAGATTGGATTAGGTCATTACAACATGTTCCAAGCATTTCATCAGAATGATCTGACACAAGTTTTACACAGTTTTTTAATATCATTAATATATAGCAGAAATAACACAGGACCCAAAATAGAACCATGTGGAACACCTATGTGGACACCAGCTAATGTAGAATTTGTAACCCTCAACTCATTGAATTGTTAATTTCTCCAACATGCAGCTTGTACAGTCGAAAGCTTGTAATCCATTACATTACATTATTTTTTACACTGTGATGGTATAGCCTCTTTATCAAAATATCATAATCCAAACAGTCAAATGCTCTGCTGAAATCACAAAATATTCCAACAGGGCACTCGCCAACATCAATAAGGCACGTTATTTCACTGTAGAAGCGGTGTACTACAGACGTTCCGGTCTGAACTCATGCTGATTTTCCGAGAATATTCTATTATTATCAAGAAAACATGACAGGCGATCTAAAAATGAATATCCCAAAATTTTTGAAAATATAGATGGTATGTTTATTGGCCAATAGTTAGAAATTATGCCACGAATTCCCTTTTTATGGGTGGGAACAACAAAATCAAACCCCTTACTAATTAAATGGTGGTAATTAGACAAAAATGTTTTATTCATTTCATTAAAGTCTCATTTATATGTTGTCAATTCATTTTTACTTATGCTCCACTGAATTCATTAAAATTAGAAATATTAAAACTTATTCAATATTGTACTCAAGCCCACAAACTATAAGATTCTGCTGGAGTACGATTATGATCAAGCACAATTGTGATTGAATAAGTTGGTAATTATTTTCGATTTTTAAGCATTTCAAATTATTTGTAATTCCGTTAGGATGGTTTACAAATATTATAAGAAAATATGATGGAATGTGTTTATGATTTAATTCTATTATTATAAAGTTTCGTGTGATAAAGTACTTTATGATGGAATATATTATGACAGAGTACGTTTTGTAATGGTAGCGTTATGCCGCCTTAAATATCTGTCTTCCACTATATCAATTTTGATGTCTATTACTTAGTGTTATGATGGAGTATATTTCTCTGGTTTACGATTTCTGTGATGTACTTTATGATGCTTTAGCTGACACCATTTTGTCCAACAGAACAAACAATATTGACAAAAAGAAAATGATAATAATATTGTTACCATATTTTTCTCAAAATTCAATAAATGCTTTTGATTGTGTTGAAAATTTTGGATTAGTCTTTCCCATATAACGAAATATTTCATTATTGATTATAATGAAACCAGACTCGATATTTTTTCGTACAAGGACTAATAGATATTTTATATCACAACTGTTTCAAAATAGCAATTATAAAATACAATTACTTTGTTTGTAGGTCATGTATCAATTTTATTTGCTCCAAACTACTTAAAGTTTTTTCATAGGGAGCTTTCAATAAATAATTTATCCCATAAATAAATAAGCCTGAGAATAAAAACATGAGAATCATATAACCTGGTATAAATATGCACAAGAAAGGTCTATGAGTCCTTTGGGTTTTGTTCTCTTTGGATTTTCATATAGGTACAAGTGAGTATCAGTTCCATCGACAAGTAATACAAAGTAGAGTAGTTTCCATTTTTTAGCAGCCTTATCAGATTTACGGTGCAGGTATCCTTGATGTTTAATTCCCCTCATTTTTTTCAATCCTGCTTGATCTCTGCACTCTCTCAAGGTGGCATAAATTTTTTCAGCTTCTGATTTTGCCTTTTGATTTTCTGGCACCCAATCGAGCTGCTTGGAACCATCAACAACTAGCTGAAACTAACTGTTGCAGATTTTTGTTTGTAAGTTCAAATCAATGTATACAATACCGGATGCTGCAAAGTATATCCTTCGACAATTTGTTCTTTCCTGTATCTGTTGATAACGGCATCAAGACATTCAAATATCCTTCCACCCATAAGATATCGTACTCCTTTTTTCTCAATTCGAAAACGTTGAATTTGATTATTGATGTGGAAAAAAAGGGAATAGTCTCCAGGAGAGTTGTCGCTGGGACGTACTAGAAAACTTCCAGGGCCAGCTGAGGGAAAAGCAAAACAAAAATTTTAAGTTCAATTATTTTTCGACATTATACTTCAGATATTTCTGGTAAGTAAACTACAGGGTGGTCATTTTAAATATTCCACCGCCTCCCCTTTATAGAACACTTTTCGTTTCTATGAGTACTTTTGCTCAAAACTAGTGTGCCAAAATTTACATTATTTCATGTCAGATGCGTTTTTGATATACCACGTTTTATAGTGACTTCTTGGTGATTTCACGGAAATGCGGTCGAACGGGATAAAAAGTATCCTATGTCCCTCTCCTTGTTCTAAGCTACCTCTCCACCAATTTTCACCCAAATCGGTTCATCCGTTACTGAGTTATAAATAGTGTAACTAACACCACTTTCTTTTATATGTATATATTAGTTTGAATTCAATTTATCTTTTATATTTTTATCAGAATTATTCAACATTAATGTCTACAAAGTTATAAGTATATCTTTACTATAGGTATAGAATTTTTAATAAAATACAATCTTCATAAAATCTTTTGAATATATCACAATCTTACCAAATCGTCTCCGTGTGATTTTATCAAGGAAAAAATAAAAAACTTGGATGTAACACAAGTACATATACAGTGTGTAAAAGCCAAATGGAATAAATTCATTATTTCGGTTACTATACATATTTAAAAAAAAAAACGAAACACGTCAAATGTTAATTGTAATTTGAAATTCGTCAACGTAAAAATGCCACCCCTACCTTCAACCTCCTTCGAATGTCCGGTACAACCCCTAATTTTTTAAATGGGAAGTATAGGTCTGTGATATATCGTTTGAAAGGTCTCTTGACTCTCTATTCAAAAATTGTATCACTTTATTGCAACAATTAAAAGTTGTATCGAGGTATTGCCGTACATTAACTTGGTAATGTGGTGGTGCTCCATCCTGCTGAAACCATATCGTATTCACTGGAACTTGAGGGAGAAAATACCACCTGAAATCATTTGTGGTGAAAAAAGTCCAACAAAGAGAGAGGTTCATCAACTGTTAATGTCCATATTTGATCCTCTTGGCTTCCCCGCTTCGCTTATAATAAAAGGAAGAATTTTAATGCAAGAAATATGGAGAATTGGCATTGACTGGGACAGTGAAGTACCTGACACTCTATTTTTGGCGTGGAAGAAGTGGCTGACGGAAGTTCAAGTTTTATTACCCATTATTCTACCAAGATACTATTTTCCGAATTCAAGTTGTATAAAGGAAGTTGATCTGCATATTTTCTGCAATGCTAGCCATAAAGCTTATGCCTCAGTAGCTTATTCGAGATATGAAGAAGGAGAAATCATATTCAAATCATTTTTCTCTGCAAAATTCAAAGTAGCCCCATTAAATCAGCAAACCATTCCCAAGTTAGAATTACAAAGAGCAATTTTGGGCTGTCAGTTAGGAAAAACAATTCGTAATGAGCTTGAGTACAAAATAAGAAACATTCATTACTGGACAGATTCTAAAGTTGTCTTGAAACAACTAAGTTCGGAGTCTAGGCGATTTCCAATTTTTGTGGCTTGCAGAATAGAATAGAAATTTATTCATCATTAAAAGATTTTATACATGTGGTACATACAGTATAAAACTTTATCAGACTAGTCAGAACCGAACATAAAGCAATTGTGCTTATCTATAGTTAGTGTATATATACACTATATGTGGAGTGTATATAGTGGGAGAGATTCGAGAAAAAACTGATATTTCTCAATGGCACTGGGTTCCACCCGATTTGAATGTTGCTGATAAAGCCACAAAAGAACTGGCCAACATCAACTTCAGAATAGAGTACATGATTGAATGGTCCCAGTTTTTAAAATTTCCTGAAGAATCCTGGCCAAAAGAAAGAGAAGGCATATTAAGTGAAAGTATACTTGCAATTTTCGAACAGAAAAGTTTTGAGTTACCCGATATAAACAGGTCTACTTCTTGAGTGTTTCATTTCAAGAAATTTTCTAGAATTCCCAAATGTGAAAGGCCAAACGAAGTAAAACCGGATGTTGAAATGATTGAGGAAGCTTCTCAAATGTGGTTACAAAAGGGCCAATATGAATCTTTGGAAGAAATAGGTCTATTGAAGCGAAATGTGGTACTTCCGAAGTCCAGCAGACTTTACAAATTGTCAGCATTTCTTGATAAAAATTGTATAATCCTGTTAGGAAGAAGATTTCCTGAAAATAGTTCATTAGATCTTGGATATGATGTTCGATATCCAATAATACTCAATCCCAAAAACAAATATACCCAATTGTTAATTGAACATTATCACCAGCAAGCTAGACACACTGGCATAGAGACGGTAATAAATAATCTGAGACTAAAATATTGGATCATCCATATGCGACAGTCAGTTAAAAAATTTATCAATATTTGTCTCACTTGCAAAATTAGAAAATGCCATCTGCTCCAGAAATGTTATTTTTACCACCAGAATGACTAGAATGTAATGTATTTCCATTTACTTACGTTGGGATTGACTTTTTTGGAACAATGACTGTTTCTATTGGAAGTAGAAGAGAAAAACGCTACGGAGTCCTTTTCACGTGCCTTACTATCAGAGCAGTGCACATTGAGTTGGTAGCATCTCTAGATACCAGTTCTGCTATCCTTGATATAAGGCGTTTCATATGTCGCCAGGGACAGCCAAAAAAAAGTTCCATCGGACAATGGAACTAATTTCGTCGGAGCTGAACGGGAGTTACGAGAATCTATCAATTCCTTGAATATGGTTAACATATCAGACGAACTTTCTACAAAAGATATAAAATGGAAGTTCAATTGCCCAGCTGCTCCCAGTATGGGAAAAATATGGGAACGCATGGTACGTTCAATAAAAACAGCCCTGAAGATATCACTCAAAGAAGTCAACCCTAAGGAAGAAGTTCTACTTACCCTTCTGTACGAAGCAGAATACATGGTGAACTCTAGGCCTCTAACTCATATATCAGCTATTCCAATGATCCAGAGGCAATTATACCTAATCATTTCTTGCTTCTTCGACCTGGGGGTGTGCAGCCTTATGAAGGTTACCCAATAAAAAGCAGAAAACAATGGAGATTTTCACAAGCCTTAGCTGATTTATATTGGAAATAGTAGGTAAAAGAATATCGACCTACACTCATTCAACGACAGAAGTGGCACGGAAAAACTGCTCCGATCAAAGTTGGTGATATTGCAATAATAGTCAATGACAAGGCATCCCGAAATAATTGATTAGTGGGACGAGTGGAAGAAACATTTCCCGGAAAAGATGGAACAATACGTATAGCCAGAGTGAAAATCAAAAATGGATTGTACACCAGACCTGTATCAATGCTGTGTGTCTTACAAACTTCTACCAATGAAAAGTGAAGAGTACAGAGCTTCACGGGGTGGAGAATGTAGAAGATATTTCTTTGTTAATTTTATTTATTTGTTTTAATACTTGTTAATACCCTGTATAATGGATACGATTGATAGTTGAAAACATGTTATGCAAATAAAAACAGTTGTTATTCGAAAATAAATTTGTCAAAAGGAGAGTCTGTCAGTTCTAATATAAAAAAAGCATTTTCTGCAAAAGTTTGAGCAGTTCGAAATGAAATTTTACACAACTAATGTTCTAACATACAAAACAAATTGACGAGGCGTTTTAAACTAACGTTGCCACAGAAATTATTTACAGTTTTTTAACGGATACCATCTAAAAAGACCATTGCTATGGTTTTTACTTACTTTCTCATTATCAATTTTGGTCCTCTGACTTTTTTGTTGGTTAAACCGATATAATTTCCATCTTTATTAAATATCACTATCAAAGCTGCATTTGCAGGAAGCTCAGGGAGTGCCCTGAGTGAACTTAAATTCCTTTTGAAAGTCAAAACAAGATATACTGTGTTGGCTTCAAAGGTATTAAAAGTCTGGCCAATGCATTTAATGTCCCGCTCCTGCCTCTTTGGTCTCCTGGCATAGATAAATCCAAAACAAGCACTTTTTTCGATCACCAAAAGAGCAATACTCTTCTCAACGCGCATTTCACCAACCAAGTTGACATATTCAGGAGATGAAGAAAACTGATGTCACTGTATCAAGTCAAGAGTCAAATTAGGGACCTATAGTACTTATGGTTTCAACTCGATTATGAATTGCTCATATTATTTAAATCTTCACCAATTGTCTTGAAGAATTAATGTAATTGCAATAAAAGTACATACTTCAGTTCATAACAATATAAACAATGTCATTGTCTCTAGTTCACAACATTGAATGATTAACCTACCTTTGACAAGCAGATCAACAGCCTCATTTTTTGTACAATCTGGATGAAACCAAGGAAAGACAGTATTAGGATCTATACTATCATCTAAATCTTCTACTAGTTCACGAAAAATCATTCCTTGTTCACCGGTTCGATGTGCTGTAACCCACAACCAACCATTACCCATATCATTGTGTACAAAAAATATATCTCCTTTTTTAAAAGTTAGTTCATCTGTATCGGGCATCTTTGTATATGGCAAAATGGCAACCACTCTCTGGAAAAAAAATGTGCTCAGCACAATAAAAATAAATTTATAATTTTTTTAAAATTCCACATTAAAATTGACGTGTCAACAGTAATGAGCCCTTTCATATCAAAAAATAAGATTGACAAAGAAAATTCAAAGCATTTTATACCAATTTTACTTTTCTATAACAAATTTGTATTCTTCACAAGTTATGATTTATCATTTGCTTTTACGCAAATAATATTACTTTTTCTCTTACTCTTATTTCTATGTCGATACAATTACTACTTGAAAAAGTTCCAGATGTAAAAACACAACAATTATTTCAGACCTAAACAAATTTAGACCTCAAAAAACCTTCAAAATGCTAAGAGACTAACTAGCAGCATCAAACCCTTAGGACTTGAATAACTGCCAATAAACAATCGAATATATTGATTGTCGGTACCCTTTATTTACTGTATTATGTGTAGGTAATTTTATTTACTTCTTTCATACACACATGTACCTATTGATGTCAAATAAGTACTTACTTATCTTGTATCATGTTTATTTGTTTGTATTTCTTTTTTGCATTTGAAGTAAATAACACTATTATTATCATCATTTGATAGAGATATAAGACTTGATTTACTTTAACATAAGTTTAAGTAAACCTTTGTGAGGTGGATGTAATAATTATTTATTATATGCTCTGACGAAATGAGCAATTAGAAGGAATATAATGAAAAAAATTCTTACTTTCTATAATGAAAATGAAAGTTTGGTAAAAACACAACAGAAAAGCAAATAGCAAAAAATCTACAAAAGAATGTTCAATATATACATATTTAAGAGGAGTTGTATATTAACAAAATAATTTGAATGACTGAGAATGTTGGTTACATTGTTAACATTGCCAGTAATTTTTCTGATCCAAAGAACAATGATTTGTGATTTGATTACTTAATTCGTTGATTATTCATTTGAGTCTAAACTTTATATAATATTATTTACATACCTGAAGTCAGCGTAATGTGCCAGCGCCCAAATCTAGCGTCCATCCCCACCCTTGAGTCCGATTTACATGGCACATATAAGGGAGTGGTATTATGAAGATAGCCAATTTGATTGGTCTTTGGCTTCGAATATATTAGTTTCAACTTATCGCAGAGTAACTTGATATTAATTGAATTAATATGGCAAAATGAATGTATATTATAATAATTGAATTGGCCGATACTTGATGAAAACCCATACTGAAACTAATTAATACTGTTTATTGTATGATTCTCACTATTGAGGGTTTTACAAAAACCCCGGCACATGTTTTGCTATACAATAGCTTTCTCAAGCTATAATGACTAAGGAAATTTTTTTTTGTATATATTCCTCATTGACAATTTACATTGTTAGGAATAGTCAGTCTTAGTGTAGATCACAAAAAACACAATATCTCAAAAAAAGTAAACTAACGGTAACAACACAATTAAAATTTAATACAATAACAGCACACAACAATGTGGCTTCGTCTGAACCCAATATATGCAAGTAACATACATATCTTATTTAATTATTGGTTTGTGAAAAACTCATCCAATAAATATTATGCTTTTCCTTATAATATTTTAATAATTTCTTGAAATGAATTATATTAACACAGTTTTTGATATCAGTAAGAAGCGAGTAAAATATTTTAGGCCCTAGAATATATGGCGTACACTTAGTAACCTGGCAAATGGCACCTGTAGTTAATTTTTTTGGCTTGTATTCACTTTGTGATGAGAAAAGTTGGTTGTGAATTTGTTTTGATGTTTATACATATAGAGAAATTTCAAAAACATTTAGAAGAAAAATAATTTATTTATTCATCACTGAAGAATTTACATACAGGGTGTTTCAAATTCGATCCTCACCATTGAGATCTCAGAAACTATGAGAGATACGAAGATGGTTAAATTGGCGCAAAGTTGCGCATTTAGCTGACTAACAATATACCATTGAGAAATTTCTGAAATTCCGAGTATATCCGAAGATATCCGGAAAAAACAGAAATTTCGGAAAATGGTTATTTTTTTCTGTCTTTATTTTTCAAAGGATTAGAAAATAAATTGCACTTCCATATTACCACTTTTTCCCTGCTTTTTCTTCCGGTCACCATCATCAACATTATTTTTTCTTAAGGGCGCTACAATGGATTCTTTCTGTTTTGAATAGAACCAAATTTTACCTTTTCAATGATGTATCATACATCATTATTCTTTTTCGAAATGTTGGAGATATTGAAAAAATTAATTCTTATCATAATAGGCTTTGACTTTGATGTTTCTTAATTAGACTTTCAATTTGTTACACTCAATAACATGTTGTTATTGTACAAGTCATAGAATTTTTGGCGAAAAATGGCTTTTGCGAATGAAAAAAAGTGATATGATACAAATTTATTACAAATACGATAGAAACAGTGTTAGGACATCGGAAATGTATTTAAATTTGTATCCCGAAAGACGACAACCACATCGGACCATGTTCAAGTTATTGGATCAAAATCTCACCAAGTTTGGTTTGTTTGAAAAGCCAATGAAAAAATAGGGATACAGAATCAACAATCAAAATTTGATAAATGAGGTGTGTATGAGGTATGTGTCCTTTTCAATGAAAATAGAACTTTGAACAAATAACAATAATTAACTAAAATGTATACTCAAAATACTGGCCTTGTTCATGATAACACAACTGTGCCCTTCTTCGAATATTATTCACTGCACAATTAATTTTCCTCCTCCTCAAACATCCGAACTCTCTAATAATGCTATGTCGAAGGTCCTCAATATTTTGATATTCCCTCTGACCATAAACTCTATTTTTCAGTGTACCTCATTAGTATGTATCCATAACATTTAAGTCTGGAGACCTTGCTGGCCACCTCACCAGCCCATTATTCCCTATCCATTCATCACCAAACCTCTTAGTCAGGTAATCAGATACTCGTGTGCGGTGGAGCACCATCATGTTGAAACCAGATGTTGTCATAGTTAGCCAAAGGCAGATCATCCAAATAGTCTTCGAAAATCGACATTGAAAACTGGTGAAATACACATACCATTGGATTAAAATTCTCTACAATATAGCGTCTAAAAACTCTTCAGTGGAGTAAAAGGATTGATTCATTAGATAACGAGTCAGAATATCCTTCAACACATTTGAACTCGCTGAACTTAAGTGTGGGAATATATTCATAAGTCGGTTATAGCACCTGATTCCTTGGTATATGTGAGAGTCCTGACCAATGCTCAATCTAGAGTATGGCTGGTGAATTATATCACTATTCCTCGTACTGTATTTGTGTAGATCATCTTTTACCCAGGTTACGAGCTACACCAACCATACATCTGATTATTTTTTATTGCATGATGAAGACTTCATTTATATGTACTGAATTTCCTCAAAAAATCAACCCTTATCTCAATGCAGATTGTACAAGTCCAAAGTAAGCTAATTCAAGTGTGTCTAACGATATTGTGCCCTTGAGTTATCTGATAATGAAGCAAATTGTACTCAATTTATTTGTTAGATCAGTATTATGAGGATCCCATGTTATTTTCCGATCTATTTTGACACCCAGAAATTTAATGAAATTTACCTGTTCTACCGATTTATCATTCACTCATATTGAAAAATTCATATCAAGATTTATATTTTTTGTTGTGAATACCATAAAGAAAGTTTTTAATAGGTACAGTCAGAATTTTATAATCCTTGAAGAATGATCTGAACTAGAATGTTGAAGGTTTGCTAGCCATGAGGCGTAGTATTCATTTTCTGATTGAACCCCACATTATACATGAGGTATGATCTGACTCAAGGGTGGAGGGTGGATGCTGGCGGCTGACGCTAACTTCATGTAAGTCAATATTTCTAATAACATTTCTATTTATGTATTTACAATTTAATCTGGAACAGTCCATCACTTGAAAAAAATAAGATTTTATGCACACATTTTCAAAACACAATTAATTATTGATCAACATGGAAAACATATTATTGAATACTACATGGGCAATGATACTACATATATTGTATCAATTAGGATTTCAATTACGAGAGATATTCATTTTTCTAACAAAGTAATACTGCAACCTCGGGCAAAAGGTGGTTTTTAACATCAGAATTACAAAATATTTTTTAGTGCCCTTATGTTCAAAATTATTATATTAATTTGCCTTCATATTGTTTATCTAAAGGTCTCTTTTCGATTATCACAAACCTTTTTATCATTCACGGGTTCTGGTGGAGCTACAGGCAATACTAATCTTTCTCTCTTGAGCAGATCACTACATTCCTTATAATAGCCAACTAAGTCATTCAACGAAACAAACTGCCGACCACCAATATAAAAATCCCCACACACTGCAGTTATCCTGAAATGGTTCATTCCACTTCTACCCAAATATGACAAAACATAACTACCCGGTTTCCTATCGCTCTCTCGCACTAAGTAAGCCCCCAATTTATTACACTGCCACAATCTTTCTTCGGCTTGATAACGATCAAGCCTTCCATGATACCAGAGAGTTTCAGGAGGTGCATAATGGGCACTGTCACCGAGATCAAGTTCCTCTGGCTCTGGTTTAATTGCAGCCTGAGTTTCTTGTTCGTTTCCGTCATCGCTTCCTGTACTGGGAGATCCCAATTTGTCTTTCATTAACCCAGCATTGTGTCCACTTCCTACACGAATTAATTCTGCCATATCGATTCAAAATGTAACTTAAGGCTCATATCAGCCAACAGCTAGAATTTATTCTATTTCCTTTTCTTTATCTTATATTGATGAGTAATTAACCTACGGCATTTTTCAATTAAAAATTCTTCACTTTTTCTTTATTATCCAGTACTTACTGACATTTCATTGTTTGGCAGATTTGTCTTTATTTACTGTCAGCTGTCACTGATAGATATGTTCCAATAATCATCGATTGAGTCATTTTTATGTACTTCTTACTCTTCCATCTCTATATTCGGATATCTAAATGATGTCAATTTTGGTACTAGGGAAGTTCAGTTGATTTTGTACATTTTATCCTGATGTTTCAGTTTTCACATATATATGTAAAAAAAAGTTTTTACATCTCATGTCCAGATCTGTCTTCATATAATTCGTCTGAATCTTGTACTTCTTGGCGAGGGCGAGACGACTGGTTGTAATTTCCAACATATAGTAACAAGAGGGACCCACGGAATTTGCAGTTCGGCTTGTTCTCATCAATATAAGAAAAATATTTCTATTTGAAAAAAATTACGACAACTGTCACTTTTCGAGATCAATTTGTCAAATCCTGAAGGAAAAATAGTTATTTATTATACAAGGGAAAAAAGTCAAAAAATAAAAAATCAAACTCTCTTCTATTTTGTCAAGCTTTCGCTTCTATTGGGAAGATTCTTCAGGGCCTACAATTTAATGAGTTGTGAATTTTTTTGCCATTGAATGACATTACAATTCATACTTACAGTAGAAATTAGTGAAAAACAATTATTGAACATATAAATTGACGAAAAAGTTAAACATGTATAGGATTTTTGTGGGAAGTAAGTTACTGTATATACTGCTGAGATTATCAATGTCAGTTTTCTTATTCATACAATCAGAAGACATTAATTTCAACCATTTCAAGAAAAAGGCGTTTGGAAATATTTTTTTCTGTATGTAAAACTTTAATATTGGTGTAATTTGGTTTATGTCCTGTTTCTATAGAATGTTGGGCTAATGCACATGATTTCTTATTAAGCTTTATATCACTTTTATGTGAAGTTATTCTATCATTATGATAGAATATAACACACCACTTGTGACACCATGAATAAATATTATTATTATAAGAAAAACTTTCTTTGTATCTGATTAGTGGAAATTGTTCTTCTCTCTTCATGAAACTATTTTTTTCCATATTTTGGAACCTCTGTATTTGAAACCCAGAAAGAAAAAATCGTTGGGAAGGAGAAGGATTTAATCAATGGAAATGTGTCATTAACGTCTCGTGAAAAAGAATTTACTGTTGAAGCTGAACACGAAATGCCATCTAAGACGAAGGAGAATAATGAAATATTCGACTCGGGATACTATTTGAATTCATTTGCCGAGAGTAAATTTCATGGGGAAACTGGAGTTTGTTCAAAAAATTTGAATGGAATAACTGATGTGGAATCTTTTGAAAAGAATCATACAGAGAAGATACAACTTCATCCGTGTCAATTTTGCTCCAAGTCATTCAACCACAGATGTTGATTGAAGAAGCATGAAAAAATTCATACCGGGCAAAAACCATTTCAAGAAAATATAAACAAAACATTTCCAAGCTTGTTTTGAGTGAAATGGCTGACATTAGGTCAGCTATCAGAATCTTGAACTCCAGTGATACGTTGGACGAATACGATGAATCCATACTTTCAGTTTTATAATCAAAACACCCTCGATCAGATTCCTGCACGTATTCTCTGAAATCGCAACATGAAGTGTTGGAGGCAATTGAATATTTTCGTTCTGTTTCTGCTGGTGATTTAGATTATTTCACCCTAACCACATACAAGACCTCATTAGTCACAGCTCTGGAAGTTCAGGACAGAAACTTCTTTCTTCTGTTTTAAAATTATGTAACTTCATTTTTACCGATAGGGTTTCTCCAGAAATTTGTCCTGTACTTTTTGGCGCTTCACNATTATTAATGATGAACTTCTGAAATCTACAAATATATATAATAAGGCTCGTCTGAAAGCAGCAATGATATCGAGTGCTGGCTATGGTATCAGAGGATGTTCCTGCAATTCTGGAACCCTTAGGTACTAATCGAGATGATGATAAACGACCAAATGGTATGTCTCCCATACCATGGAAATACGGTAAACCTGTGGTATGTGACTTCACTTGCGTTGACACGGTCACGGCTTCACATCTAGCCGAAATTTCGAAGTCTGCTGGAACTGCAGCATTATCTGGCGAAAAATTAAAACAAAAAAAATATCAAAATCTTGGTAACAACTATCTGTTCCATCCAGTAGCGGTTGATACTTTTGGTGTTTATGGCCCGAAGTATCTGTTATTCGTTCATGAACTCGGAAGGAGATCAGGCCAAGCAACGAAAGATTACTGATCTACCTCTTTTTTTATAGAAAGGATTAGTATTGCTATTCAACGTGGTAATGCTGCTTTGGTCATCCTTCACATAATTTTAATGAGATCATGCATTGCTCTCATTTCAGTACGGAACTGAAATATCTTCGAAACAAGTCGATAGATGTATATATTCATCAGTCTCCTATCAAGGTTAATTTGCAAGTGATTGATCCACCTTCTCCTTTTTCAGTGCGGTCAATGGACAAAGGTCATTGTTGCCCCCCCAGATATGAGCTGCAGTTTTCGTAGTTCTGGTTCCCTTTCAGTAGAAGAGCTTCATGGAGCAAGAGCCGAATCGATCTCTCTTCGAAACCCTTCATCACTTGGAATGAGCGAGTGCAGATTGCGAAATGGTTCTGATGCAGATTATGTGAAACATGTTCCTCCTTACGAATCAGTAGACAGTTTTCCTGAAAATCTTGCGAAGAAAATTGGATTAGATAATTTAGTAAAAACACTTGCTACAAGAATAGCATTTTACAAATGTTGTTCATGACGAAGAATTTCAATATCGAGATTTTAACGATGAACGAGAATGTTTCCTACTTATTCACCAAACTCAAACACGTTCATGCAGCTGCAGTTTCATAAGAATGTATCATTTTTCCCACCAACGTATTTCCTGTAGTCTTTGAAGAGATATGATTCTTCCGAATTCTTGGGATTCTTGTTGAATAATCTTCGTGAGCAGGAAAATAGCAGAATCAATACTCCTGACCGCTCTAAATCGAATCATTCCATACAGTCTACCTCGTCTTGGGTTTGTAGATCTTTTGTTGAAAAAAATCCTCACTTGTTTACTTTGTAGTACATGTTCAAGAGGTAGCAAAAACGTATGTGACTTTCTGGAACTTCAATTAGCGTTTCCTAATATGACTGATAACTGATAACCAGTCCGTGCAAAGCTTATTGTTAAATCATCTGAAAATAGAACTTTTAACGGGTGATGATCAACTGTATTGCCAAATATGCGCCAAACTAACTGACTTTTTATTATAAGACAAGTATACCTGAGGCACCAGTCAATCCAATAATTACACTCGATCAAGTCGCCCCGGAGCGTAAATTACTTTTTGGTGTTGATTTGTATTCGACGATATGATATTTAAGTTAATTACCATTGATTCTTGTTTCATCATGATGGAACAATACAAGAAATATTATAAATTTCTTCGTATGACTTATTCAAAAATCGAAAATAAGCAGGAACAGCAAATGGCGACAGAATGAACAAAACTGCAGGATATTAAAGTGAAACGGGCTCTTTTGCAAGAAAAATATGAATCTTTACAAGACGCCAAAAAAATAACTTCGATTCTTATTTGGAAGCGAAATGAAGAAGAACTAGAAGCAGATATGGATTATTGTGACACATATGAAAAAAAATTAATGTATAGAAATATGGATATGAATAATTCAAAGAAGCAATAAACGACGGAGCTTCGGTTGTGAGTAGAATATCCAATATAGGATGTGCGGAATAAAAAAATTTCAATGGGGATATGAGAAATTGGTTTTCTTTCTAATATTAATTTAAGAAAATACATGATGATTCAGATTCCTCTGACAAACAGTTCCAAACAGTGTGGCTAGAGAAGGTGGAGAGTTTTCCTTCCAATATTGAGAATTATCAAAATGTTATTGATAGTTTAAAACCTCTTTTTCACAGGGGGGATCTCCAGATTACAGTATATGTATGATAACTTTTGAAACCCGTTTCAAATAATGCCATATCAGTAAAGAAACTAGATATTACCACACTGTATGGTGAAATTGAGACAGAATTGCGATCACTCAAAATTTTAAGCGTTATCAGTGAAAATTGTACTGCGATATTGTTTCCATTAATATAATCGTGTTAGCCGGAGGATTTTCTGAGGTTGTGGCAGCATTATGTTAGTTTATGTATGGTAATTAATATTCGAGCTATATAGTTCTTCTTTGGTGTCTGAACAAACTTTGAAAAACCGAAGTAAATATGAGGAAACAATTTATTTTACTGCTACCGATAAATGTTCCAAAAAATGTGAACATCACTTGTTTACTTTGTAGTACATGTTCAAGAGGTAGCAAAAACGTATGTGACTTTCTGGAACTTCAATTAGCGTTTCCTAATATGACTGATAACTGATAACCAGTCCGTGCAAAGCTTATTGTTAAATCATCTGAAAATAGAACTTTTAACGGGTGATGATCAACTGTATTGCCAAATATGCGCCAAACTAACTGACTTTTTATTATAAGACAAGTATACCTGAGGCACCAGTCAATCCAATAATTACACTCGATCAAGTCGCCCCGGAGCGTAAATTACTTTTTGGTGTTGATTTGTATTCGACGATATGATATTTAAGTTAATTACCATTGATTCTTGTTTCATCATGATGGAACAATACAAGAAATATTATAAATTTCTTCGTATGACTTATTCAAAAATCGAAAATAAGCAGGAACAGCAAATGGCGACAGAATGAACAAAACTGCAGGATATTAAAGTGAAACGGGCTCTTTTGCAAGAAAAATATGAATCTTTACAAGACGCCAAAAAAATAACTTCGATTCTTATTTGGAAGCGAAATGAAGAAGAACTAGAAGCAGATATGGATTATTGTGACACATATGAAAAAAAATTAATGTATAGAAATATGGATATGAATAATTCAAAGAAGCAATAAACGACGGAGCTTCGGTTGTGAGTAGAATATCCAATATAGGATGTGCGGAATAAAAAAATTTCAATGGGGATATGAGAAATTGGTTTTCTTTCTAATATTAATTTAAGAAAATACATGATGATTCAGATTCCTCTGACAAACAGTTCCAAACAGTGTGGCTAGAGAAGGTGGAGAGTTTTCCTTCCAATATTGAGAATTATCAAAATGTTATTGATAGTTTAAAACCTCTTTTTCACAGGGGGGATCTCCAGATTACAGTATATGTATGATAACTTTTGAAACCCGTTTCAAATAATGCCATATCAGTAAAGAAACTAGATATTACCACACTGTATGGTGAAATTGAGACAGAATTGCGATCACTCAAAATTTTAAGCGTTATCAGTGAAAATTGTACTGCGATATTGTTTCCATTAATATAATCGTGTTAGCCGGAGGATTTTCTGAGGTTGTGGCAGCATTATGTTAGTTTATGT